TTCGGGTGAGGATTAACAGCAACAACAACAAAAAGATACTGCCAATAAAATGTTAATTTATTAAAAGAAAAAGAAAGAAAGATAATGTGGCAACTGGTTATTTTGGGCTTCTTGGTGGTTGAGAGATTGTAGAAAGGTGGAGAGAAACAGTGCTTTTCAAATCATGGAATGCAGGAAGCATAGGGACTTTGGAGGATGCTTAGAGGCAGGGTAGAGGATGGACTCTTGCTTGTGCTGGACGTTTTGTGACATTAACAATGCAGGAATATAAATTCTTTCTAGAAATACATAGACCTGAAGATTCTTGGTGGAAAGATGCTTCCACAACAAAGCTGTCCTCCCTTTAACCTCAATCTCTTTTGTTTCTAAAGCCAGTCTTTTCAGACTTAGGAGGACTACAATAATTACTAGCAAGAAGGCAGGTGTACTTAAATATGATTTACAAGTGCCTCAAAATCTTGGAATACCATTATCAAGATGTTTTCAAATGAAAAGTCTATCATTTTTTATTTTCATTTTGCTCCCCCACCACCCCACCCATCATCACCAGCCTCACAATCTCCTACTAACAGGAGATCTGTGCCTTTAGAACACCATTGTAGCAAGCTGGGAGCTGGTGCTCCTAGAAGGAAAGCAAAGGGTCTCCTGTATTCTCTGCCAAGTTGCTATTTAGCTTTAAAAAATAGTGGAACTTTGCTTCAGCCCTGAGTAAGCACAAAATCTCAGTGGCCTACTGAACTCTGCGCTGTCATTAAAGAGCAAAGATAGAAGATTATCGACACTATCACTGCCTGTTATCAATAGATAAATGAAATACTTTTTCCTAAGGACTCCATTTAAGTCTGTTTTACCAGCAGTGATTTATCTTTGTTTTTATGTCAATATGAGAGGCTGGTGCATGAATTTGTGCACAGGGCAGGGGTAGGGGGGACTGTGGGAGGTTGGCCAGCCCGGGGAGGGACCATGGGAGGTTGGCCGCTGCCCATGAGGAAAGAGCTGGCCCTCTTCCTCCCCTGGGAAAGGGGCTGCATCCACCAACACGTACCCTTGATTCCCCATCCCAACCCCGGCCAGAAGGCCATGGCGGGATTGGGAGAAGAGGTGATGCCGCGTGGACATGGAAGGAATGGACGCTGATGCTTCCCTCAGTGCCCCACCACTACGTGTTTCCCTGCCACCCCCTCACTGCTGCACCACTATCACGGTGGGTGGGCAGCCTCCAGGGAAGGGAGAGGACGGGAGTGAGACAGACCCTTGTGTCGAAGGCTGACTTTCAATAGATGGCAGGGAGAGAGCTGCTCTACTACATACAAAACCCCAACTCAAGAGCTGGTAATCTACAAATGGTTTAGCAACAGGGGATGATGGGGACAGGCTGGCTGGGGGGAGGGACCATGGGAGATTGACTGTGGTAGTGCACTGACCACCAGGGGGAAGCTCCCGTATTGTATGTCTGCCCCCTGGTGGTAAGTGCGCATCATAGTGACTGGACGACCCATCGTTCTGTTCAGTCATAGCAGTTATATATAGATTTGTTTGCCATAAGAACTGGCACAAGGCTCTATTGTATTCAGTCTCTCTTTAAGTTTCTCTTTAAGCAATAAACTTTCCTATGGCCATGGGAATTTGGAATAAGCAAGTGCAAAAATTCTTTTACATGTTAAATTTGCCATTTCTATTTTAGGGGCCACCAGGCAGGTTTTTCCATGGAACCCAAACCAAGAGGCCGGTTTAGGAATGATTCCTTTTAACATAATTCTATCCTGAGGGAGGGGAGTATAGGGGGGAAGGTTTTCATAAATTCAGTTCTGCTGGTAATTCCAGTAATAAATCACTTAGAATTATTCTTATACTGCTTTATTGTTCTATAGGGGAATGTGCCATGTTGGAACTTTATTGTTCAGCTGACCAAGTAAGATTTAGTTATCACTCAAGAGGTATCTCCAGATACCAGGCTTCCTGAACTCATAGCTGTAGCTTCTATAGTCACCTTTAAATTTAGCCTCTTCCTAATAATAATATTTATTGTTAGAGATTTTGAAATTTTTAAATTTCAAACATGTCATCTAAATCTTAATCACTGAGAACTATAAGCATTAAGTATGACCTGCCAACAAAGGCAGAATGAGTTAGGTATTGCTTTTAAAAAATACACGTATACTTCAACAGGTTATTTATTTATTTATTTATTTATAATTCTTTATTGTTTAAAGTATTACAGTATGTCAGAACCATATTTACGTAGACATATGTCTCCTTACCCCCCTTGACCTCTCCCTTGCCACTGTCACTCCCAAGCACATGCCCTCACCTCCCCAGTGTCTGTGTCCATTGGTTATACTTATTTGCATGCATAAAGTCCTTTTGTTGATCTCTTACTCACCCTCTCTCTCCCCTGCCTCCCTTCTGAGATTTAATCTGTTCAATGCGTCTGTGTCTCTGGATCTATTTTTGTTCATCAGTTTATATTGTTCATTATATTCCACATATGATTGAGATCATGTTGTATTTATCTTTCTCTGACTGGCTTATTTCACTTAGCATAATGCTTTCCATGTCCATCTATGCTGTTGCAAATGGTAAGAGTTCTTTCTTTTTTACAGCAGCATAGTATTCCATTGTATAGATGTACCACAGTTTTTTAATTTACTTATCTGTTGATGGGAACTTAGGCTGTTTCCAAATCTTAGCTATTGTAAATTGTGCTGCTATAAACATTAGGGTGCACAATATTATTTTTTTTATTCAGTCCTTTCGAAGATTTACATGATAGATATTATTATTATTATTATTATTATTATTATTATATCCTTATCCAAGGACATGTTTATTGATTTTTAGAGGGAGTGGAAAGGGGATAGAGGAAGGGAGGGAAGGAAAGGGGGGGGGGGAGAGAGAGAGAGAGAGAGAGAGAGAGAGAGAGAGAGAGAGAGAGAGAGAGAGAGAGAAATATCAGCCAGCCACCTCCCTTATGCGCCTTGACTGGGGATTGAAGCTGCAACCTGGGTATGTGCCCTGACCGGAAATCAAATCAGTAGCCTTCTGACAGGACGACACTCCAACTGAGTTACCTGGCCAGGACTAGATCACTATGTTTTAAATCACTTTTAAAGTTTTCTATGTGTGTGTGAATTCCCCAAATTGTAAAGGACTTCTCTCCTGCAATATCCCTCACCTCAGTAGTAATACAAATAAACAGATATGGTGGTCACTTCCACTTTCTCAGTGACCTGAGGAATGAAGTATTTGTTTAGAAACACTCAGAATAATGCCAACAGTTTGCATATTTTGACAGGGTAAGCAGAGAAAACATATGATCAAAATGCAATCTGTTTGAAGTGTGTTAGGAAAAAATTCATCTCAGTTAATTTGTAGATTACCCTATCATAGATGTCACTATTATTTTGTAATCCCTGTGACTAAAGCAATTGTGCTGTCAGAACCATATTTACGTAGACAGAATATCAAGTCTGTGGTCACTGGTGTTCCTGATCTTTCTACAGGAGTGCTAGAAGGCTACCAAATGTAAAAGTGGAAACTTCTTTGTGTTCTTTATCATGTACAAGTTATTTCAACACATTTAGAGTCATGGACTTTGGAGAAGCTGATGGTCTTGGAGACTACCTCTTACAACTCCTGGCTTCTCCAATTTTGTGGATAAAATGTTATCTCTGAGGTTGTTTTAGAACTTGAGGCTTCTTACCCCTCTTTGGCAGGCCTTTCATTTCTGGTTCTTCCACCAAGTATTCCACCATGTGAATGGGAACATTTTTATTTAATCTCAATAAAGTCATCGAACAGAGTATTTTATAACTGGATGGGGGCTGGCAGGGGAGGGAGGAATGGAGAGAGGAAGGAAGGGAAGGGAACCAAAGGAGAGGAGAGAGGAGAGGAAGGAGGAGGAAAGGAGGGAGGAAAGGAATGAAGATGAGAGGGAGGGAGGAAGAGAAGGAGGGAGAGAAGGAATGAAGAAGGGAGGAAAGGAGGAAGGGAGGGAGGGAAGGACTTGCTTGTATTTTCTGTGTGTGCATCACCTGAAATTCTGTTGCCACCCTATAAGATGAATGGTGATATCTCCATCTTCATAGATGGGATGAACTCCTTTGGACCAGGCTCCTTTCACTTAACATTATGCTTGTGAGATTTATTTCTGATATGGCCTGTATTTGTAGCTCATTCATTTTTAGGGGCAGTGTAGTATTTCACTGTGTGGCTATTCCCTCCTTTCCCCTTCTTTTTTACTAAAAAACTTCTATTGATGGATATTCATATTGGTTCCAGATTGAGACTATTTTAAAAGTGTTATTATGAACACCTGTATATTCATGCTTAAGTTCTGCTGAAGACATTAAAGCAGATATTTAAAGTGGCTGTACCAATTTGTACTTCTTTCAACAGGGTATGTGAAATCTAGTTTGCCCATATTCTTGCCTGTACTTGATGTCTTAATCTTTTTCATTTAGGTCATTCTAATGAATTAAAGAATTTACTTTTTTTTTTCCCCTCACATTTTTTTTTCCATTTCATCCTACTAGTATATAAATGTTTTGCTATGCTTGATTTAGAATAACTTATTTATAGCCAAATATACACATTTTCAAATAGGTATTAAATGACTCTCTTTGTGAGCTCATAAATAATGAGCTTCAGAAGGTGGCCAAGATCTATGTTTTAACTCAGCCTGAATTAATGGCCCCCTGTGAAGGGCCTGGTTTTATGCCTCTGTCAGACCTCCTTATTTATTCCACTTTATAGATAAAGTGACTGAGCCACACTTCAGGGACTAGGGACCATCCCAGGTGCTATGGCCAGGCCTCCTAGAAGAGCCAAGATTTTAATGTTCACTCCTTTCTCTCAAGTGAGGTCCTTTATTGATTCTTGTACTCTTTCATTTGCTAAATAATTATTGAATACATACTGGATGGCAGGCACTGGACTTGGCCCAGGGGACTCAGCGCAAACAAGCTTCTAACCTAATGAAGTCCTCTTTCACTTTACAGGTTATGGCTTTCAAATCACAGCCTATTTCCTCAAGAGAGGGATACGCCTTCGCTGCTTTGGGGGTTCACAGCGTCCTGGTAAGAAACTGATTTCTTGGGTTGTCAGGCATTTTGCACAGCTAGCTTGCCCTTGAAAGGGGATGTAATTAAGGAATGATGATCCCTACCTGCTTTGTTATCTTTATGAAATTGAAGTACTAAGTAAAAGTATTTCCAAAATATGTGATTATTTCTTTTTCCATTTTTGCTGTTTATTGCCTGCCTGAGACCAGTGAGCTGGGTCACACTACACTGTGCTTTTCTGCTGCATCTCAGCACTTTCATTGAGCTTCCCGAGTGACTCACCGGCAGGCAAACTATGAATCACTTCATCATTGTCTGTGCACACCGAGGCCCTGGGATGTGGAGCAAGTGTGTGCACAAGAAAATGCTTTCCCAGCCTTTCCTAGGTGTGTGACCAGGCCAGCTTCCCCCTCATTTTCCCCAAGTCAAGATGTCCACTGAGGAAATGATGTTAAACTCATCCAGCCAACAACAATAAAGTCAGATGCTAACGACTATTCTCAAAGTTGATCTGAGCATTGGAAAGAAAATCTAGTTCAACTTCCATGCATGATTTTAAATTAACTGTATGGAGGTTTTCTCTTGGAATCTTCACAATTATCTGTAATTTCTCAACTTTCAGTGTCACTTGACTATATTACTCTCTTAATGGGGCTGTCCATGTTACTCAGTTCTCTTAGTAATATATGCCAGTTAACCTCTATCTGTTAAATGCAGCCTAGCTACCCTTTCTGGTGGGGGTGCCTGTTGCTTAAATCTTTACTTTATTTAAATACTAGAGGCCCGGTGGTGTGTCCCTCAGCTTAGCCTGCACCTTCTCCAATCTGAGACCCTTCGAGGGATGTCTGACTATCCGTCAGACATCTCTTAGGCAATCAGACATCTCTCTCACAATCCAGGACTGCTGACTCCCAACTGCTAGCTTGTCTGCCTTCCTGATTGCCACTAACTGCTTATGCCTGCCAGCCTAATCACCCCCTAACTGCTCCCCTGCCAGCCTGATTGCCCCCAACTGCCCTCCCCTGCAGGCCTGGTCCCCCTCCACTGCCCTCCTCTTCAGGCCTGGTCCCTTTCAACTGCCCTCCTATGCTGGCCTGATCGCCCACATTTGTCCTCCCTTGCAGCATGGTCCCTCCCAACTGCCCTCCCCTGCTGGTCATCTTGTGGGGGCCAGGCCATCTTGTGTCCACATGGGGGCAAACATCTTTGACTACTGGGGGAAGCCATCATGTGTGTTGGAGTGACAGTCAGTTTGCATACTACTCTTTTATAGATAGGATTAAAGTAATGAAAATCTCAAATATGACCTAATTAGAGTAAAGGGATACAGTTGCTTTCTATTTGCACAACACCTGGCACCAAAATGTTCTATCCTTATTTTTCAGAGGAAGAAAGGGAAGAACAGAACAGAGGAATTATTTGATTGAATGATTAACTTTGAATTCTGGTTCTGATCCACTAATAATTGATATAACTGATCATTTTGAATTTTAAGTCCGATCCTCCAACAAGTTATATTTCAGTGTTATGATATTGGGGAGAGGGAAAGTGCCAAATAATACATTTTACAGTTCAGTTTCCCTTTCCATAAAGTGGGAAGCCAGACACCGCTTATTTCAATAGGATATTTTAAGAATTAATGAATAAATACTAATTGCTTTGATAATTTTGGTTTTCTGGCTTTTCAAAACTCATTTCTGGCCACCTGGCCATCTATGGTATCCATGAGGGGTCAAAGTATGCCCAGAATTCTAGAAATGGAGGTTTTTATATGAGCAAGACTAATGGGGATAAGACTAGAACTACAGGTTAGGTCCCATCATGGAGGGTTTTGGATATTTTCATAGTATGTGGTGGCCTTAAGGAGCCATGATAGGAGTTTGAGCACAGTAAGTGGAGTTGCTTTTTAGAACTGTTAATCTGCTTGCACTTAGTAGAATAAATTGGGATAGGAAAGAGTAGTCACCAGGGAGATAGCAGTGGCCCAGGTTAGATGTAAAGAGAGAGCTGTTACTGGAATATCAGCTCATTGGGATTTTGCTATAATTGAACAAAGCCAAGTGTGAAAGGTGTAAATTGTGTTTTAAGATCTGTGTTTGCATAATTGACACCTTCCTGCTTGGCTTCCAAGTACATCAGATTGAGATATGCTATTAATTTAGTCAGTGCCTTCACATTGTCATTCATTGTTGGGAGTGTGCAATGTCTATAAAAGGCTTCACTTATCTGATTCACATCTGTCTTTTAAAAGAATTGAACACATCAAAGAAGGAAGTTTTCTCTTTTAGAAAAATGGCTTTATTTCTGTCATAAATGTGATACATGTGTATTATAAATATTCTAGCAGTACAACCAAGTATAGAGAAGGGAGGAGAAGACCCTCCCCAGCCACTCAGAAAATACATCGTTAGTATCAGCTAAACATCACTTCAGACATCACTCCAGAGATAGGTGGAGGCTGGGTAGGTGGGTGGATAAATGAATGGATGGGCTGACTGATGGACGGACAGATGAGAGAAATAGAGATACAGGTAGCATTTATCATTTTATATTCCTTTCATTGAATGTTGAGTTCAGTTCTGTGATTCTTTCAGCCTTCCCCACCCAGAAGTCTTTTGCTTTAAGAGGCTATAATAATTAGATTACTGTAACTGGTGTAGTTGTATCATCTTTACTATTGCATATTTAACCACTTCCTTTTAATAATTTGATCACTAATTCCCAATTAATGAAACTGCTGTTCTCATAGCCTGATTCAGATTGAGAGTTTGCCTTTCATTTTAGGGCTTCTCTAAGACCAGTTAACCAAGGATATGATAGACAAACTAATAAGAATGTTCACAAGTCACATTTTCAGATTTTATCTAATATTCTTCCTCGTCCTATGTAAGTCTGCACACACATTAGAAACATTGATCCTGTTTCCCAAATGTAAGTTCTGAACAGAATACAGCAAACTGACACACCCTGCCTGGGGGTTTCATGTGATAGAATGATCCAAGGGCTCAGATGGACCTATTTGCAGCCTCCTCTGCATTCCCTAAAGCTTTGTGCATGCCTTGCCCTAGTGTTGGCAAACACAGAAAGGTGGGGAGGGGATATTTGTGTCTCATACATTATATGCTTATTGCTGTAACTTACAAATCTGGGATCACCCCGTTCTGTGTTCATAGGTTTTGATGCCTTTAGTAATTTGGTTTTCTTCATTTTATACAGAACTTCGTGTATTCCCTGATAGATTTGTGGTCTGTGTAAGTCAGCTTGCATTCAGCTGTGATCTTTCAAGGCAGAATGAAGAATTGGTATGTATGAAAAAATTCTATAAGCAAATCTGCTTAAATATTGAATAATTGTAAAATATTTTTAAGTATTTTTTCTTGTTGTGATTTGGCTATTGATCACTTAATGTATGTCTTAAGGAACATACATTAAGTGATCAATATGTCCTACCTGTTTTGCTTGATACTATTAAGACCACTTGAAAATTTAGTTTGATCAGGAATATTTTTCCCATATCCATTTTAAATGAGAAAGCAACATTTTATAAAAACTGTGATGGTGTTTAGGATAGTATTTAAATTAAATAAAGCAAAGTCTTTAAATGAAATGAAGCAAAATCCACATGTTTCCACTTCCAGGGTCAGTGGCTTTTGAATTTTATTCCATGGTGAATCACTGACATTTTCATGAGAACCAGTACTTTTCCCCAGTGTGTTATTTCTTAGCTGATAGGGTTCATTTTCTTTCTCTTTTCTCATGCTAAGTCTTAAGCTCCATCACATCCTGTTACTCTTTCATTGGAGATCACTATTCAGACAAGTAGATAAAGAAAACTTCAGTAATATTGCACTGGAGGGAGTCTCTTTGTATGTGAGTGTGTGTATTTTCTTGCTGGCCACACAACCAGTCTATCTGAACTTACTTCTATACAAACCTTTTCAAATTTTTGGATATACATTGTAAAACTTTAACAGATGAAAAAAAACCTAGCTGACATTAATCTGCGTATGAAGTATATGACATGATTATGCTTCTAAAATAATTTATGGGATTATTAATTTACCCTTTATGTTTATTTCTAATACATTGGAAATTTGGCCCATACCGTCTAAAAACAATTTCTTATCTAATCTTAAATAAATACTTAGGGAGAGTATTTTAGAGGCAATAAGGGTTAATGGAGACCCAGAAAAAGTAAAAGGCAGAGAACTTATATTTAAATGTAGGTGCTTCATTTGAAGCAAATACACACATCAGAAAAGCCAACATGACCCTAATTTCTTCATATATCAATAAAACTCTGAAGCAAATTTGGTGAAAAGTATTAAAATTGTATAGTTTGTAATATTTTTAGAATTTTAATTTTTTAGTAAATTAATAAATACTAAAAGTAATGCTATTGGCAAACAAGTATATTATAATACTAGAGGCCTGGTGCATGAAATTCATGTGTGTGGGGGGGTGTCCCTTAGCCCAACATGCACCCTCTCCAATCTTGGACATTCCTCTCACAATCTAGGACTGCTGGCTCCCAACTGCTCACCTGCCTGCCAAGCCTGATCACCCCTTAACTGCTGCCCGATTGCCCCCAGCTGCCCTCTCCTGCTGGCCTGATCTCACCCCCAACTGCCCTCTCCTGCTGGCCTGGTTCCCCACTGTCCTCCCCTGCTGGCCTGATTGCCTCTAATTGCCCTCCCTCCAGGCCTAATCTCACCCCTAACTACCCTCCTCTGCTGGCCAATTTGGTTCTGAATAGTCAGTTTCTATGCCAGTCAGTGTCAAAAGCTCCACCTCTTAGGCAGACATTGGATCCTCACAGTTGACCAGATTTGGTTCTGATTGGTCAGTTTTTATGCCAGTATCAAAAGCTCCACCTCCTATGCAGCCATTGGCTCCTCACACTTCACCCAGATTTGGTTCTGATTGTTTGGTTTCTATGCCAGTCAGCATTTCTGGGCCTATCAGAAAGATGAGGCTGATCAGCCCTGGTGGAGGCCTAGAGAGAAATGGAGGTGTGGCTGCTGGCCATGCCCAGAGAGAAAGAGAGAGGCAAGTGCTGATCAACAGCTACCAAAGTGGCTACAGATCAGAACCTGCTTATCTCTTCAGACCTCTCTCCAGGCCTGATTCGCAGCCCCCTCAGCAGTCAGTGCTGGGACACCGCGCCTGCTGCCATAGCAGTCAGTGCTGGGTTGCAACTGCAAGACTAACTTCCAGTTTGTCGAGCCTCCAGTTGTGACGGACCCAGGGTTTTTATATGTTAGGATAACTTAACTAACTCAAAGCAATGAAGAAATTGACCTATGGTTTAAGAAAACAATTAAGTGTACTAGAAAGTATCATTTATTTTAGATGGGATACAGAATAAATGAGATCTTGTATGATAAATGATATTGATACTTAAATTATTAAGGTTGAATTAAAACATCTCAGTACAACTGAAATACTATCTTCCTTAGGGGCACTGATATTTATACAGATGTAAGTTTTCTATAACTGCTGTCATATAAGTCCTATAATCTTAAGGACTTTCTAAATGTTAAGAATTTTCATTCTTACAAGTTGACTAGTCTGAGCCTTTTACTTGAGCCAGTACAGGTTTTGTTTGTTTGTTTGTTTGTTTGTTTTTATCTTCAAAATGTTCTGACATCTAGTGATAATACTATCAGAGTCCACCAAGTTAGCTTATAAGACAAAAGCCATTTACATCATGAGGATCTTTCACTGTTTTGAGTAATCCTCTTAAATGTGGTTAGGCCCTGTCTCTTCAGCTGCCCTTTTTTCCCACCTCTGACCATACCTTCACTCATTTTCCATCCGTACCCACACAAGTCAACTAAGCCTGATGCAGCTCCATCCCTGGACACAGGCCCTGTGTACCTGTGCTTGGCCTTCTCACCTGTGCATTCTCCCTTCTCACAGGCCTCCAGTCTACCACCTTTCAAGCTTGTCCCTATAAACAATAAAATATCCAGGTCAAGCAGATGGACCATCAAGCTAACTACAAAACAGTCCTTCCACTACACTTGTCTTGGAGCTCTATCTTCATTGTTATTTGCCTCTGCAGAGCCCTCCTGTCCCATCTATTTAAGGGTCAATAAATAGCCCTTCCCTCCCAGAGTTGTCTTCTGTGCAGAGGTGGCATGCTTATTCCCTTATATTCTAGTAGTTCAGTTGCCCAAAGCCAGTGATGCCCCGTTCACTCTCCTGTGAGTATTCTCTGAACTTCCGTTTTCTATAGAGCTTTGAAATCTTTTATCAGTTTACATTGCTGTTTGCCACAGGGCAGGATCCACCTCATTTTCTCTTGGTAGTTATTCTCAAGGAACATCTCACTAGGCAAGGCCTGGGGGATTGGCTTCCTAAGGAGCCGTATTGGAGGTACTTCTTTGGCAATAAGCTTCAGTTACTTTCCTATAACTGCTTACTGAACTCTCTTCCCAGCTACAGAAGGCGTGAGCCAGTACCGAGCTGCTGCTGGGCACCTTACTCATGCTGTAGCGCAGATTCCCTTTCCTTCGTTTTTTTCTTCTATCCTTTTGGTCCTCGGTGTCTAAGTGACAGTTGGTGGGGAAATCTGGGGGAGCCTATTCAGAACTGCTGTGCACAAGGAAGCCAGCTGCACACAGCTCCTCATTCTTAAAAAGGCGGCTGCACAAAAGAACCGCTGTTGCAGACAAAGCAGTACAAAGGGAGTGATCCCCCTCTTTGGAGAGAGAGGTGCAGAATGAGCACAGCCATGCTGCCCCCTGACCCCTGCAGCTCCAGGGAGGTCTGTTCCCCACTGTCCACGGAGGGACATTGGTGCAGGGAGCTACCTCATGTTGCAATAGCTCCACACCGCGTGCTCTTGTGCCCGGGATGTGGGAATTGTGATGTGTATTTTGGGAAGAAAGGGCATTATTATGAGATGAGTCATTGTATTTTTCTTACTACAGTTTCTCATAAGAAATCTTGAAGCTCTTGTAGGTTCAATTTTTGACCTATCGCTAGAAATGGAGCTGGAGAGTCATTTCGGGAGTTTGTACCTTTCTCTTTTTTTTTTTCCTCCCTCTCCTCCTTTCCCTTAGAAATATGAAGAGCATGGAATAGAATTTTTTAGCTTTATTTCATTCCAACAATATTCTCTTTCATATTCACAAATCCAAGTCCCTGTGTAGAAACTTCTTTCTCATATGTAAAGCCCAGGAACCTTTGGGAAATTCAAAATTATTTATTATTTTCATTACTTTTTTATTAAAATAAATAACCAATAATAACCAAAGCAGTAACTTTACAAAGTAATAATTTATTGTTAAATAACCACAAATTATTTATATATGTGTATATCTGGAACATTTCAGGTTCAGCATAAAGCTACTGTCTCACAGAGCATTGCTTACAGCCACTCCTAGTCTCCTGAGACCCTTCCCATCTGTTCTTACCATCCCCATTTACATAATTTGCTGAATACTGGCTATATGCTAGGAGCTCTGGTGGGCCCTGGGGCAACTAAGAAAAATAAGAAAGTGCTCTTACTCTCAAGGAGCTTACAGTTGGGCAGATCAAGGGCACTGAAGGTTATCCTCGTGACCAAAAAATGTAATTCAAACAAGAGCCTCATTTTTTTTCTTAAAGATGTATCCATTCTAAACCTTCCTGGTTCAATTGGGTCCTGTCTGCCCTTTAGAAGCCAAGTCCAAAATTCTAAGTTACCTTCTTTTAAACTTAAACTGTAAGAGTCTGATTCTTCCGGAAATTTAAAACGTGACAAGTGAGTCTGCACAGAAGATATTTAGGTTCATGTGTGTTGTGCCCAGTCTGTGAAAATAACGGTCAAGATTGTGCAGAAGTACCGCAGCCACACAGCCCTGTGTCCTCGCTGTGGCATCATGTAGATGGGATTACCGGCACGTCCTGACCAGCACTTAACTGAACACATCTCTTAAGTCACACTACTTTTTAACACTAAAGAATTCTCCCTCTAGTTTAGGAGTATATAATTGAAATGAAAATGAGACTAAAGAAGCAATAAACTACCCTGGCCTGGGTTATTTTTAGCTTGGCTTTCGTGTTTTTCAGCTGTGCGTAATTGAGCCTCTGAGGGCCTTAGCCCTCTTCTCAGTCAAGGGGAGGATGTCAGATTACCTCAAAAATCCTTTCTCACACTGAATTTCTATCAGAGGAAGCAATGAAAATGTTGCTAAATAAAACCCATAAAATTATTTTGCACAAAAGAGGACGTTCCTTGTAGATTAAGAAACTGTGATTAGAAGAAAATCAGAGTAGAGTATATTTTACCTTAGGAAAGATAAATAGAAAT